CCGTTTCAGTGAACGACTTCCTTTCAACCGAGGGGAAGATCTTGCCGGGGATCTTGTCGGGCTTTGGCGAGACATAATGGATGCGTCGGGGGAGCGGAAGAAAAAAACGGGGGCTTGTCCTCTCCATCATCCAACCCCACCGAGTTCCAGGAAAGGAAGCCGAAAGCGGGAGACAGTGCCCCGCTCAGCGACTTATCTCCTTCGCGCATCGAGCTGCAGACGAAACGATACCAGAGAGGCCCAGAACTTGCTTATCTTTCGTACGGAGCCCTTAATCGGTCGCCGACTAATATTCGTGTGAATTGGAGCCCAAGTGTGAAACAGCAGAGAGACTGCTCCTTTCGTTCTCTTTTCCACTTCTGGACTCTCCGTCGATATCGAGCCGCTGCTTGTTCGAGGTTCTCTCCTGAGCAGGAGAACCTTAAATTGCTTGGAGCGATCGATCCTGTGCCGGACTGGGATCCCTTAGGCTCTTCCCTCATTGTTTTTCCGACGTGAAGAATTTGATCCGACGAGGGAGGCAAATTGTCTCCGAGCTTTGTTCGCGAGGCATGCCCGACGGTCGTCGGCGTAGCTCGTGAATCCGGGATGCACAAGCTCATCACTGAAGCGATCTTCGGCAAGGACATTACCTCATAGTAACAAGAAATCCAATATTCGTGATCTGCGAATATTCTGTAAGCCGAGAATCCAGGCGGAGCCCTCTCAATGACGGGAAATATCCCTCGAGAATCGCATCGGGACGCTCCCGTTCGCTGTTGAGAGTTTTTCAAATTGATTTGCCGCCGACCTCCATTTCCTCTCTCCCTTTCCTCCTTGGAGAGCTTTCAAAGTCAACGGCATCCACCGGCGGGGTAATCCCGGACATTATCCGACTTAAGAGCAGAAAACACTACCGTAAGCCAGGGCAAGCTCACCAGAATCCTTTTGGAACGTGTTTTTCCTTGACTTCTGATTCCAAGTTCACTAGACGCACTGAATCGAGCAGCGGAGTGACTCGAGCGGACCAACTTTTTCCTGTATCATCCTAGAGGAGCAGTGATCACACAAAACTGGTTCGCACCTTGTTGCACACCGATGGCACCGCGGCCACACTGAATTCAACACCCAATTTTCCCTTTTTGCCGACGACGTTCCGATGCCCAACCAACGGAGTAGTGGTTTTGGAGCAGAGGCGGCAAGGAGAAGCTTCGGGGAGAGACCTGAGTTTTGGGAAAGGGCAAGACCCTGACGTCAAGCCGGCCAAACGTTTAACATACAGGAGTCCAGATCATCGGAACGGATCGCTAGGTTCCTGGAATCTCAGGACACCACAACAAAGCGTTTCAACGAACGTCCCGCACCGTTAGCTTCCCCTCTTTTGCTTCCCCGTTCCCTCGGCTCGTTTCGCCTTTCTCAACGCGCTGACTGCCTCGTCTGGGAGCAGATGCGATATTTTTCCCGATCGGTCGTCCGGTGCTCTTCTTCGAAACTCTAGCGATCGTCTCCCGGAACCTCGATGTCCCGGCCTTCCCACATTGTTGCCGCTCCTCGAATCGATGGATAATTCATCTGAACAATCTCTCTAGGAGACGCTTTCCAAGAAGCTAGTGCCGGATCAAATGGAGCGACACAACAGCTCCTTGCGCACTCGTTCTGCGTAAAGCATCAATTTCTGCGTGGAACCCGCGCTTGATGGAAGGCTAACCAAGTGAGCGGGTGGGGGAAGCTGCCATTGGTGTGACCATCAAAGTCTGCTGTTCGAGGATGGAAAACGTCTCGTGCTGATCGAATCCTCCAACTTTCAAAAGTTCTGACAACGTCCGTTCTGGCGTTTCCGGGGGGAATTCCTCGATCTCCAGACAGGCAAACTTATTTTCGCTTCGTCGGTGAAGCATCAGTCTCAACGAATAAATAATCGGGGTGAGCCCCTCGATGTTCGGGTCCCCCTCGAGGGCTTCGAACGCGCTTCCCTCATTCATGGATCGACTGGGCTCGATGTTCGGACGATTGAGTAAAGATAAGATTTGTCCGAGAACCGGCAGTCGTGAGAGCCTGTCGTGGGTGACCGAGTGTTGATTCAAGGCATTCAGGGGCTTTTCTTCTGCCTTGCCTCGCTGACCCCAGGCGGTAAAACAACCTGACGGGGAAGACGACGCCTTCCCGAGAGTCGAAAGTCACGAAAGGCGTCTCTATCGAAGATGGAACTCAGCCATGTAAATTCGAGATGAACTCGCGCGTCCTACCTGGAGCTCTTCCTGAGCTCCGTCGCGAGATTCATAACGAGGAATGTCGTAACCCGGAAATCCCATTTCCTCTCGACCGCTGATTGGGCGCTCTCCAGGCGAGTTCCTAACAAGTTCGAGATCACTCCGAAACGAGGTCAAATCGAAAGCTGGAGGGAGACCCGGGATTGCGATGGAATGGATACGACAGCAACAGATATCAAGCAGATGGACAGAAGACATTTATTTGATTATTCTGGGGCCTCCGTCTCCTCAACGACAGCATTGAACTAGTATTAGTAATCGACGAATTGCCTGCTTCGGAAAGTTGATAGGGTCTCCCGTCGAGTTCTGGAGCTGATTGACTGAGTCGAAAATTCACGAGAAATTCCCGGAAGATCGTCGCGGCATCACGACCACGGCTCGAGCACCTGGATTCGAGAGTCCCGTAATCGCTGGCTCACACCTCAGAGGCCTCGGGATCGGATCACCCGCAGGCCTTTGCCGCTGGCGCGCTCTCATCACGGCCTGAGCTAACTGACGGAGCCGGAAGTCAATGGCTCGAAGCTGCTCCGCTCTCTTGCGTGGGTTGCTCTCGCTGATACTATTCCCGTCCTCTCCCGTTCCCCATGATTACCTACTTCAAGCTCCTCGGGAAGCCGAGGCTCGATCTCGAGCTTTTTCTTGGCGGCAAAAGTCTGGAAGGTACAGTTCCTCGCGGATACAGCTTTCACGGGGAGCATAGATGTGCAAAAGAAAAACACTCTCCCCAGTCCTCTAGCGATTCTTCAATCCTCATGGGGTGAAGTTTTCAACCTTGTCCAAAATCCGACGACGCGACGCTCGCGATCGCGGCAACGAAACACTAGCTCTCGGCAGAGGCCGGCGGTCTACTGCATCGTGCGAATCAGGTAGAGGGGAGTGATTCCTCGCTGAAAGACAACAGAATTCGCTGGAGCCAGCACTTCGTATTGTTCTTCAACACCTTCGAGAGCTCCTCGACGCTTCCGTGTTAAGTTTACGAAGTAAGCATCTTCTGGATTGACTGCATTGGGATGATAGATATGTGAAGCGAAGGAGCTCGCGAAGACCCCCAAGGAATCGCGAGAGTCGACGATTGAGTAGAATAAGCCCCGACATCGATACAGTTCTCTGTTGCTTGCAATTAGCCTTTTGATACAGCGCTCTCCGTTTATGCTTGCCTCGAGACGAGGAGCGAATGCCGGAAGCGGTACGATCCCGCGGAGCGAATGCCTCATATCGAATGTATCTGCACTCGATTCTGTTTCTGCGCGTCTTCTCATACATATCTTCCGTTCACCGTGGTTCCCGGCAGCCTCTCCCGCTGTCCCTCCGCGTACATTCCGTTTTTCCGGGCGAATCCATTAGTCCATGCAGCATTTCCTTGCATTCGTGTACGAGAGCTACCGCTTTTCGCAACGAATTCATCTGCGTGATTGATGCAGAAGTAGCGGCGAACGGAGCTGGGCACGCATGAATGAACCCTCCGACGACGGACGATACCGTGGCAGGGCTGGTCTCCTCTCCCCAGGAACAGGAGACCGAAGACCAATCATTTTGATGTGCTCGCCTGGAAAGCTCGATCGCGGCCGACTAGAGAACAATTCATTTTTCGCCGCTCCGGATGATGAGGAGATCCGAGAATGCTCCCTTCTGCTCGTCGGAACTGAATCCGAAACCATTCTGCGTCATGAAAAACTCATCTGTGAGATCTTCAGTCGGATCCTGCGGCTAGAGTCGGACGGGGACGCGATCTGATTCATATTGACTGATGTCGCGAGGTGAGAGACGGAATCATCGGAGTGCAACTACTTCCCCGCATCATTATCCGCAGAAGTTCTAAATAATTGATAATAAGAATCATTCTCCGTCTATCAATTACTAAGGCCTGCCTCATCGATTGATATGTTCAACATCACATTCAAGGGCCTTTCATGGCGAGCGGCTCGCAATCCACATACCAGATGCCCGATCAGCGAGTAGGGGGTCTCTCAAGGGACGATTCCAGGCTCGGGGAAACCCTCTCACTGAAACCGCGGGAAATCTTGCATGCCACGCTCATCGAGCGAAAACGAGCTCCAAAATATACGATCAAGAATTACCCTTTAATCCTAGAGAGAGGCCGACTTTTCGCAGTTGTCTGGCCGTACTCATACTATGTAGTCAAGGCCTTACAGATCAGATCAGAAGCTTCGGATTGTTCTCGATTCGGGAATTCTATCGTCTCCTGAGCCTCAGCAGTCGCCCTTTCCAGGCTCTTTCTCTGAAACGATCGATTGCTCTTGCCTTGGCGCCAATAGGAAACTTCTATATCTATTTGGGAAAAACTCGAGCATGACCGGGGTCTTCCCCCGGAGACGATTTCGAGACTGCGATCCCTCGCCCGGAATTCGCGCGTCGGATCCTTGATCAGATATTGATCCCTGCCTCATCCCGGCTATCTGCTACCTGCCGCGCGATCCCGAACCCGATCCGGGACTATCACCGAGCTTCTATGGCCAGCGAAGGCATTGTGGAGGTGGATCGATCACCGCCGCTGGTAGCAGGCCATCCTGATTTCTTTCGAGTGCCCCATCTGCCGTCTCCTCATTCGAGAAGCTCCCGGCCAGATGACTGCATTCTCCGGCTCAGGACCTCGACTGATTTGAGCACCTCGGTTCCGCCAATGAGCCTCGATGGGAGTCTCTCTCTGGGACGAACCGAGAGAAGCTTCGGCGGTGGGTAGATGGCGACCCGGCGTCAGCGGATACCCGTTTCCAAACAGAAGCCAAACCGAAGCTGCTGTTCAGCTCGTGCACAGCATTCGCGAGGCGTGGAGCTGTGATTGTGAGCAAGAAGAGGCTCAACTCGATCCTGCAATATGATTGCCGTGCATAAACCTTCCGACATGCGTGACTTGATGCGACTTGAACGGACCGGTGCCCATTCCCACATCCATGGACTCGGTCTCGACGATCATTTCGAACCGAAGGCGGTGGGACAGGGCATGGTTGGTCAGGTCAGTGCGCGCCGAGCCGCCGCGCTCCTACTGGAGATGATCAAGGAGGGAAAAATCGCGGGAAGAGCAGCTCTCCTCGCTGGAGAACCAGGAACCGGTAAGACTGCTATCGCCATGGGAATGTCGTCGGCTCTCGGTCCGGACACCCCATTCACCTCGATATCCGGCTCGGAATTCTATTCCTTGGACATGAGCAAGACCGAGGCGCTCATGCAAGCCCTACGGAAGAGCATCGGGGTACGAATCAAGGAAGAAACCGAAATCATCGAAGGTGAGGTCGTTGAGATCCAGGTTGACCGGCCGGCAACAGGCCAAGGAACGAAGGTGGGGAAACTCACTCTGAAAACGACCGAAATGGAAACAGTTTACGACCTTGGCACGAAAATGATCGAGTCCATGCTCAAAGAAAAAGTCGTTGCCGGAGACATAATTTCGATCGACAAGGCGACGGGAAAAGTCACCAAGCTGGGCCGAAGTTTCACCAAAGAACGCGATTACGATGCTTCGGGACCGCAGTCGAAGTTCGTCCAGTGCCCTGAAGGCGAGCTGCAGAAGCGCAAGGAGGTCGTGCACACGGTTACCTTGCACGAAATCGACGTAATCAACTCACGCACCCATGGCTTCCTCGCTCTGTTCAGCGGCGACACCGGTGAGATCAAGACCGAAGTTAGGGAACAGATCAACGCGAAGGTATCCGAGTGGCGCGAGGAAGGAAAGGCCGACATCGTTCCTGGTGTTCTGTTCATCGACGAAGTCCACATGCTCGACATCGAGTGCTTCAGTTTCCTGAATCGGGCTCTCGAAAGCGATTTGGCACCGATTCTTGTCATGGCCACTAACCGAGGCCTGACGAAAGTTCGAGGAACCGAGTACGAGTCTCCCCATGGTATACCGATGGACCTCCTCGATAGAGTGCTCATCATTTCGACTGTCCCGTATACAGAGAAGGAGATCAAGCAGATTCTCAAAGTTCGATGTGAGGAGGAAGATGTCAACATGCAAGACGACGCTCTGAACATCCTGACGAAGATCGGGACCGAAACTTCGCTGCGTTACGCAATTCAACTGATAACGACCGCCCAGCTGGTGGCGCAAAAAAGGGGCGCATCTGAGGTTTCGTTGGCGGATATAAAACGAGTTTATTCTATGTTTGTCGATGTCAAGCGGTCACAAGGCTACCTTGACGAATACCAATCCGAGTTGCTCTACCATCAGGCGTAGATCAGGAAGCAACATCCGTGTATAATATCATGAATCAATTTCTGTGTATAATATTATTATCATTACCGTGTCAAATAAAAGCCATCTGGCAACAAATACAATCCTGTCCCATTAACCAACCAGGCATGATGGTGTACGAAAGTTCGAAAGCATGTTCAAAACGCACGTTCTTTGAATATTCACAAATATATGGCAGCCATCTCCGAACATGGAATGATGCTGTGATGATGATGGGGCGGCAGTTCCGAGTATCGCAAGAGTGCCCACATCTGATCTGCAGGGACTTATTCTTCAATCTTGAGAAGCTCTCCATCGGAATTTTGTCGCTTTCCGAACCGTCGCAAAATATTCTGGAGTGTCTTCATAGGTGACGGTCGAAGATCCACCGTAATGCAGCCGGCAATACTCCAGCCGACCACCGCGGACGCTTAGGTGAATTTGTGACTTCTCCATTCACGAATTCCTCGGGATCATGCGAGGCATAGGTATGAATGTATCTACATCTACATCTACATAATCAATAAATGAGAACCGAGACTCGAGGACCTAGAAGTCTTCCAGGTCCGAACCCGTGAGATCGGCGGAATACGAAGTCGGGATTGAGTTCGAAGAGCGCTCATTAGATTCCCCTATCGCATCGGCGATCCAGCTATCAGATATGGAAACATCATCTAGTTTGAGAGGTTTTTTCAACCTGGGCTCAGAGTCTGAAACTCGGCTCCCATCATCTTCTTCCTCATCGGAATCCCTCGCAAGATGGCCTTTAGCAGTTCCGAAAGCAGCGCCCAGTCTTCTCAGTGGCTCCTCTATTTCGTTGTACTTGTTTTTAATGATTTTCAGCCGCTCCTCCAGTTCTTCCAAATTCGTTTCCGTCTTCTTAGAACTCGAGGAGCTCTTCTTCGATGAGACCACCACGTCGTCGTAATCGTCTTCATCCCCCAGTATAGCGGATGCGCGAGTACTTTCCAAAATATGCGGATCTTTGTAGATTTCCTCAGCGATCTTCAAGTAGGAGGACTGTCGGGTGATGCCCTCGATCGACGCGAGGTTCGCCCCGAAACTGTCCGTGACATTGTCGGAAGTGATTGTTATATCTTCCGCATCTTGAACCGATTCTTCATAGTTTTCTGTGTGAGACTTCTTTGGAGTCGTCGCCGTCGTCGTTGTCTGTTCTTTGATGGTGTCCTGGCCAGAGCTGGACTGAGATGGGAAACCCATCGAAAGAATTTCTCGGTATTTCGATGGAGGTTCCGGATCTTCGTCCTCCTTCGAGGTGGACACGAAACTATCTGAATAATTCTCACTCGGCATCTCGGGTCGATTCGCTGAAGACGTGGGGTCCATCGCGTGAGAAAATGATCGCGGCGACTTGGATCCTCCACTCTTTGAGAGTTGAGACTCGGAGTTCGCCGAGAAAGGTGCGTCCAACGCTGACTTCGAGTTCGAGTTCCCAGTATTGCTCGTGGTGGACTCCAGTCCCGAGCTTCGATCTCGCGAGGCTGGCCCGGGCTTCTCCGGGAGACTTGATCTTTGCGGCTGACGCCGTTCAGGAACATTCCCCGGTTTGGTCCTTGAGTCCTCAGCTCCAGCTTGGTTTCGTTCTTGTTCGAGGTAATCGAGGAGCACTTGAAACTTCATGAGGGATGTTTCCAGTCGAGATAGGAACTCCTTGGACACAAATACCCCATCGTTCTTCGACGAATCATCAACAGCAGAGGCGTTCACCTGAAGACGGCGGAGTATTTGAAGTTCGCTCAGAGTTCTCGTAAATCAGCAGATAATGAGTTCTAATTTATGGACCTTCTCAGAATATATGGCTCGATAAGAACGACCAAATAGAGGAGCTTACCACGGACGAATTTTGTCGAGATTTCTGGGGGAGCTTCACGGAGGGATAATCTCTGGGAGGCAGAGAGCCTCGAGGCTTCTCGATTGCCGAAGTACTGATCGGTTCGTCTACCACCGAAATCGGTGCCGTTGTCGTGATGCGCAATGGTCGGTAACACGTTTGTTTCGAATGGTCCTTATTGTTCTCCAGCATGATCTTCGCGATGTCGAGGGCGATGTCCCTCGGAATAGCGGGATTCCTTCGAATGTCGCAAACCTCGACGGAACGATTTGAGTAGAGCATCTGGATAAGAGCTCGGCATCCCGTCGCAGTGATCCCACAATTTTGCAAATCGAGAGCACGGAATTTATTTTTCTGTTCCAAAGATTTCGCGAGCTCCAGCACCCCGCTGTCTCCAACTGGATTTGAATTGAGGATGAGTCTTTCGAGTTTGTTGTCTTCGGCGATGAAAGCGCACAATTGAGCGATCAACTTCGAGCTGAGACCACAGCTCGACAAATTCAGAATCATAAGCGACGACAACAGGGGGAGCGCACTCACCAAAACATTCACTTGTTTCGGGTACAGAGGCATTTCCTCGAGACTCAAAATTTTCATCGACTTTGCGGCGGGAAATGCGGCGGTGACGGTCGCGAGATGCTTTTCCGACATTGGGATTCCGACGAGGCGGAAAACCGCGAGACACCACTCGTTTCTAATCAAGTGACGGTAGAGAGCGTTGCAAATCGACGACATAATCTCAGGATCGGTGTAGATAGGGAGTCGGACGTTGCTGTGATAGTGGAGCTTCATCATGTCGTGCGTCAGCTGGGGATTGTCTCGGAGGAGATGGCTTTCGAATGCCACCGACAGGAGGCTGTCATCGTTGACTAGCGTGTGAAGGAGGATGAGCAGGTCGTTTCGATCGATAACATCGAGATTAATTTCGAGCCTGTCCTTCAGTAATGGAGGCATCACCGGCCGGTAAGCCGCGAGGTTTTCTTTCACCAGAGCGTGTTTATAGCGCTCATGGAACTTCGTACCCGTCGGGGGCTCCGAGTGCAAATCAAACCTCGACATGTTGAAGGAATCGCAGACTTCGAAGAACAAGATTACGTCGAGCTCACGTTATCCATGATGGCCTCGTTCCTAGGATGAATTGACGCGCTATCACAGAATCACCCGAAATCCCAATGACAACAAACCCATGTGAGCTCCGTACAAACAGCAGCGTACGGGTTCTCGTGGTCGTTCGATTTCACCCCCGAGAGGCGTTCAAATCAGCGCGGGCTTGAGTTTGGCGCGCCATCCCTCCGCCACTGCCGCCGCATGCATTAGGTGGAAAGCGTTCGTGACGTCAGCATGAAGAAACCGATGGGGGTGAACTCGATTCAAATTCGTCAGCTCTGGAATCCCTGAGCTTCTGCCAGCGTCCGGGTCTCCGATCGATTGCGCCGGAATCGGGACGTTGTCCACATCAGGAATTCTGGATGGCAACCATTCGAGTCCCGAACTTCATCACTTCATGTCCGACTGGGGGTTCCGGTTTCACGAACATGAGCCATTTACTACATGGGGTGCTGTCCGTCGTGTTCTTAAGATCTTGGAGAACTGCTTCAAGTTCCTCCTAGCAAGCTATGCTAGTTTCCACAAAGCGCTCTTCAAGTCCATGAGCTCCGGTATCCAGATATTTCTGGACGAGACACGGGCTATGAGTATGCTAAGAATGAGCTGTGAGCTTCACAGAAAAATTCGGGAATGTAACTAATGGACTGAGAGAGCCGCGACGATTGAGCTCGCGGAACCGGAAAAAAAAAAGGATAGTGCTCGTCGAACTGAGAGCTGTTGGGGTATTCGAGGACAAAAGGGAAACGAAGAATATTCCAGCATCATGAGCGATTTATTCAAGCATCCTCGGCCTTAGTCGTTCTCGTATAGATAATCTGTGAGTGATGTTTCGACACGAGCTTGATGGCTCCGCTCTCCTGAAGTTCCTGGAGGGCTTTCTTCGCCAGGGACGCACGAATCTTCAAACGCTCAGAAACAACTGAAGGGGTGATCAGTTTGTATGCCGACACCTGGGGAGAAAAGAAGACGGAGGAATTAGCGGAGAAGAGCCGCCAGAAGGATGCATATGAATACGTCAATAAGATGAACAATCGTGCTGAGATACAGCTGATTGAGTCAGACACGACAACCCGGAGGATGGAGATCGCCGTTGGATGATGAGGTGAACATCGTCCTGACCGCAGTCTCATAGCTTTAGCAGACTCAGGACTCAAGCAAAGGCCACAAGACTGCGGGAAGGGGACGCCCAAACGACAGTGAGCGGGAGTGCTCACATGCAACACAGGGTCTGATAGGACGAACGCGACACTCACGATAAGACTCATCTACACTCATCTAGTGACATCCAACACCAACAAATCCCAACGTCGTCTCTTGACGTAGATGGGAGCATTTCGGTTCACGTTGATAGATCATCGATCCGTGACGGCATGCGAATACTCCGGAGACGAGAATTCCCGTTCCGCGAGCTTGTGAGACAATCGGCGAGTAAATGCATACTTGACTTTTGAGTGAGATTACCTCTTTGTGCAACTTGTCGTAGGTTGCCTTGTCGAACAAAACAAGGTTGTTAAGCTTGTCGCGAACTTTTCCTTTCGACCACTTCTTCTTCTTGGCCTTGCCTCCTCCGGATCCTTCTTTCTTCTTACCGGACTTGGCCGGGTCGGACTTTCCCTTCGTATCCTTTTTGGGAGGCTGCAAGTGAACAATACTCCTGAGATTGGACGTTCGATCTCCAAGTCTAGACGTTGGGCCTGTATCCAAACCAGCGAGTCCTTGGGCTCGTGAAGGATGATATTCCACCACCAAGTTGGGGAGAAGGCCTCGATTCAAAGCATTCCTCGGACGATGCCGACCTTTGAATTGACTGCGGAATTGATAATGGTCTTCCTCGCGCGTGCTTGCAATGGAAATTGGAAACTTCCGACACTATGTAAGCGCAAAGGACCCAGCAGTATCCGTGCCCGGGAATGCGATTTCACGTGTGCTCAAATACACGAGCTGCTAAGAGCCGCGTATGGAGTCGAGGATCCGGGCTGACTGAGAAGTTCGTCGGAGTCTCACATATCCCAACGCATTCGAGTAGCCTCGGGCCACGGTGTCCGGCAACTCGGCCATTACACCCGATGCAAATACGCGAGATGCGCAAGAATGATGGGAAATCCAACACCACGTAACTTCGATGCTTGTGTCACACAACGTGGTCTGGTTCTCGTGAGGCCAACACAAGGATTTAAATCTTCCGAAATTTCGAACTCCGAACTTGAGCCTCACTCCAGTCTTTCAACGAAGAGGCCCAGGGAACGTTCAACTCTCAAATCAAGATGTAGCTCTCAGATTAAACAAGAAAACTCGATATTTACCATGTTGACGACGCGACCACAGTGAGGTGCGGCGTGGAAAGGAAGATGGCCGCGTCTAGTGGTTTCGGTTTGGATGGTGGGACTTTGGATTTTGGCGGGCTCCTTCGAAATGTAGAGTCGGACCCGACAATCTAGCTCCAACTCCTAGCACGATGCCTCGATAGAACGGTGATGTCTTCGGTATCTTTCGCCAGGAACTTTCTCGGTGGTAGTAGACTATGTTCTACTCGCGGTCAGTTCTCAAGCAGATCCCCTGAGCGGAAATACGTTCCGAAGACAAACGGGATGTATGATCCGGGATCGAACTATATTTTATGCATGACTGTGTTTCCCATCCTCCTGTGATCGGTCAGGAGTCAGGAACACTCCGGGAACAATTCTCACGCCGCCCATACAGTGGCATACCAAGCCATTCTCGATTCCTCGGCCGATACTCCGATTCGACTCCCTCCTCGGATCTATCCCCGATTTCCCCATACCTATCGTTTTTTAATCTTTTCATAGAAAAAGAATTGATGGAACCTGACTCGATACGTCGTGATGCTCCCCTGCGTGTGAGGCGTCAGGAATTTTTCTCGACATCTTCTTCCCCTCAAAACCACGAGCAATCAGCGCCCCAAAAGTCACCGAGACATCTGAGCGCAATATGTACGGTGCCTCGTGACCGCTCTGCCCATCAACCATTTCCAGTAACAGTGCACATCGGGCGGACTTCGCAAACCGTAAGCAATAGCTTCACAGCGACGAAAGCGGAAGACGCAAAGAGGATCGAGTCCAGTATCGGAATAGTCTCGAGATGCCTTGATTGGGATGAAACGTGATTTTATAGCCGATGAAAGGGGCCCGATCGCGCGGTAGGAGCTCTTCGGCTGGTACGGAACCCACTTGGGCCTGCGGGGATGGGGCAGTGGATCTGAGCTGAGACGGTCTGTTATATCCGCTGCCGGAAAAATGGATGGCAAGTCTATAGGACGAATAGCTACTCTTCAAATACTCTCCATTGGGAAAATCAGGACAACACGATACCGCATTCATTCGACACCAATCTCGGAGGGTCACGGGCTCAAAGAAATTTTATCTCGTCGAATTTCGATATCGTAATGCATTGGTTCAGCTCGGTCTCCGTCAAGGGTTTGTTCCCCGGCCTCAGAACAATTACTGACTTCATGCCCGCCGCAAGGGCGGCCGTGTACTCTCCGAACACATCAGTCAGGAATAGGATTTCGCTCGGCTGTAAACCCACACTGTCGGATATTTTTGAGTAGGAAGCAGCCTCGAGCTTGGATCCTGCTGTGGTCAAGTCGTGAAAAGACGAGAGAAAGCGGAGCATTGATCCTCGTTTCGTGTAGTTGAACAGATCCTTCTGAGCTGCGACGCTACCTGCAAAATTTGCCCGGCTCTAGATGTTGTGACGGATGTTTATATCGAATGATCCTACTCGATGTTCAAACTGGCGGAGAATGTTGGACGGCGATGGAATACCCGAGGAATAAATGCCTATCGGCATGTTGCGGGCCTGCCAGGCTGGAAGAGCGTCATAAACGTCCTCGTAGAGATCACTCTTCAGCTGACCGGTGTAATATCCATCCTTCCAAATGAGGCTCTGTAGCTTCTTCAAACCAGCGTCTTTGACATCGCGGTCCATCTGCGGCGACGAAAATCATCTCTGAACATCTCGATGCAACCGATGAATCACCGAGGCATATACAACGACAATCATTCTGATAGGTCATCATCATGACGAGTGACTGCTGTCTGGAAGCCGAATTGAAGAAACGACAATTCCGAGCAGCGACCTTACGAGCTCCAGAGAGTCAGAAGATTGAGGAGAGCTGTACCTACCTGCCAGAGCACGCTCTCGACCAGCGTCGGCTTGGAGCCATCCGTCGGCGGGGACTCCGGCTCGCCAAGAGAGTATTTTATGATCAACTCCACAGCGTCGGCGAGGTCCTCGTTGTTATCCCAATTTTCGTCCAGGAACTTGACAAGTTTCTCCCGAGCGTACACGAACAGAACGTCCTTGACGAAAGATATCGGAGTGACAGTTCCTTCGATATCCAACAGAATGTATTTGATCCCGGAGAATTCCATCGCTCGCCACGCACGCTACCCTGAAGAGGAACTACATCGAGCATCGAAATCGGTCGGCGTCCAGTAAGAGAATCGTGCGGACGGCCCGAGTACTGAGATACTCCTCTCCGTGCCAAGAAGAAATCGGCATGGTCAGAGAAGCGGCACGAGAGAATGAAACCATTTCGTCTTCAGCATTGCACGGTCAGGGGAAGGATTCCCGGTCCGATATTCACCTGTCGTGTGGATTCAGTTGAATCAGCAAGGTGCACCTCCTTGCCGTTGCGAGCGGCTCCCGTCTTGCGTCAAACTCACGCGCAGCTGATGCTCAGATTCAAAATTTGGCGCCGGAATGTTCGCGCTCGTTTCGTTTTGATCGTCGGCTGATCTAGTTCTTGTTGTACCGCAAAGCGGTTTGTGCTTGTTTGCAATGCGGCTCGCATGGTGGTGTGTGAAGGATAGACAATTTACCAAAACAGTGGTGTGCGAACTTATCACAATCTAATCAGAGGCTCGTTGAGCCTCGCGATGAAAAACGAAGCCGCGATGGAGGAAGTAAAAGCCTTCAACGCTGAGGTAAGCTCTTCCCGAAGTCCTCGGTTTCGTTCCGGAGAGCGGTCCGGTTGTGGCGGAAAAAAAACAATAGGTCCTCCGAGAGCTTCGGTCAGGCTCGAGGTCCTTGTTTTGAACTCGAAGAACACTTAGGGACACATCGGGCAAGACTTCGGCCTCGCTGCGCCTCTCTGCGGAAGTTCCGCTGGTCAGGGCCAACACGAACTGACACCCAGAGCACTCCGGCGACTCTGAGTACTCATCCGTCGTACTTGCCTGAAATTAAGGGTCTTCCGCCATATAATCGGTATCATCGGGCTCAGACCAGCCTTGCAGCTTTTCTGCAGCCTATCTGTCCGTGAGGGAAACGAAGAGCGTCTATCTACTCGGCGCTCACCGTAGACACGCCAATGTTGTTCTACAAAAATGGGGTCCGGCATCCTCCGAGCGTTCTCCGTACTGGGGGAAAGGAGTCGCGCTATTCCGCATCCGCGAGGCCTGAATTGGCTTATCTAGATGGTCTGTCCCTCTGCCTTTCTTGCGCTGCCCCTCGAAGGGGTTGGAAAGAGAGGAAGAGGAGACGGATGCTTTCCGGTCTGAGTTCGCTCCATAATGAGAGAAGGTGTAGAATCGGAAGCATGAAAATATATATAGGGAGCCCCACGTATCGCTCTAATGGAAAAAAATCTCTATTAATTCCAGCTTCAAACTCTCTATGAATCTCGTCCTCCTGTTTCGAAGGCGAAGATGACGGACATCACAAAGCGCGCGATGAAAGGGGTCAAACTTTACAAGCACGTCGTGCACACCGTCGAAAAGTTCATCCACAAATGCAAGCCCGAGTACAAGGTGCCGGGCCTTTATGTGATCGACTCGATCGTCCGGCAGAGTCGACATCAATTCGGTAGCGAGAAAGACGTCTTCGCTCCTCGGTTCCAGAAGAACATCAAGAACACCTTCCAGAGTCTCATGAGATGTCCGGACGACCAACGCCCGAAAATAGTGCGAGTGCTAAATCTCTGGCAGAAGAACGGAGTATTTCCGACAGAAGTTACTCAGATGCTTCACGAGGTCGTGGCATCTTGTTCCGGACAGGTAAATGGATAGATCGAGACCATTCAGACCACCTACATAATAACTGGTCCACGTCGAATCAACTCGCGCATGCTCAGAGATTCGAAGATATCCCTGAGGTTTAAACTTTTTTGCGTTTTCGCAGAACCCGATGGAGTCCGTTCGCAATGGAGACGATGTGAATGTTGGAGAGGATCCTTCCTTAGCCTCAAAGACATCGACTCTCGCGAATCAGATCAAGGAGCAGAGCAAAGAGAACAAGCCAGTTTTCGATAGAAAACTCCTGGACTTCGACTACGGGGAAGAAGAGGAGGATAAATCTACGTCGGATGCCGGTCACCATCATCATCATCATCACCACCACCACCATCAACCGACACATCCTCCGGAACCCCCTAAGGTCGAGGACGTGCAGAAAATTGCTAACACGGTGCTTAATCCATCAATGTTGGAATCTATCCAGAAAGCCCTCGCCGCACAGGGAATGGGTCAGGTACGATCGCGCGAATTATGAAGTATGCGGAGTTCAATCGAAACTTTCGGCAGCGTCATATGAAGTTCTCTCGCTCACTGATACCCAACCCAGATTCTGACGAATTTCACTCTCATCTGCAGATTTTGAAACCTGAAATGCCCTCTGACATGGGAATGCAGATGGTTCCACCTCCGAACCATATGATGGCCTCGCCTTTCGGTCTCCCTATGATGGTTGCCAATCCGTTCGCGACGCCCGTACCCATGCAACCTCCGGTGTCTCAAGAAGCCGATTTGATGGTTGGGAAAGACGAAGACCTGCGCAACAAAGAGGACGGTCCTCGACGAAGACGGAGTCGGAGTCCCAGGCGGCGATCGCGGTCTAGATCGCGATCGCCAGCGAGGTCGAGAAGGAGATCGAGAGACCGGAAACGCGATCGAAGTTCTTCAGCTGACCGGGAGCACGAACGAGAGCGTATGTCCAAAGGTTTGCCCGCCGTTCGAAGAGGCTATATCACGGTGTGTTCGAATACGCTCTGGTTGGGACATGTTTCGAAGGCGACCACCGAGTCTGATCTGGAAGCGAGCTTCGGAGAACACGGCAAAATACTCAGCATCGATGTAAGGAACCAGAACCCCCTATTCCCATCGAGTTCAATCTCAGAAATTATTCGACGGATCGCGTTAACCCATCGATCGTTAGTCGGATCTGTGCGGATTAAAATATTGGGATGATTTTTTTCTCCTCAGCTTATCCCTCCTCGAGGTTGTGCATATATTTGTATGGACCGTCGACAGGACGCCTACCGAACGCTGGTCAACAAGCGCAACATAAGACTGAAGAACTCTCCATCGAGAATAAAAATCGCGTGGGCGCCTCATAAGGGCGCGAAGAATCACAAAAACTTCAAGGATTACTGGGACGTGGATCAGGGGTGCTTTTTCATCCCCGACGACCAGATGCCGCTCGACGTCGATCTCGCCCAGCTGGAGGAGGGTGGAATGATCGACGTCGACTCGCTCCCGGACTCCCTCAAGAAACGTTACGAGCTCCTCAAAATGGGGGGCAAGCCACCAAGTGCCATTCCTAATGCGATGCCGACCGGAATACCGGGCGGTATCCCGATGCCGTTCGGAGTTCCTCCTTTCCCCATGGCTTCGATGGGAGCTCCGGGAAGCAATGCGCTCACGGCCATGCTGGGTATGCCTCCGATGGCCCTGCCACCGATGATGCTCAACCCGAATATGTTGCGCCCGCCTGGTGGAACTCGAATGAATCTTCCCGGAGCTCAAGGAAGCTTGCCACCTAGTTCGACGGCCGCGGCCGTTGCACCCCCGCCACCGATTAGTGCGCAATCGCCATCTGCCAACGGCGATGCCAGAGGTCCTAATGGTCAGACGAACTTCGGTCCTCCTGGACCGCGGAACCTTGCGCGCGGAGCCATGCCGCAGATGAGAGGTCCTGGTATGCCCGGTATGCCTCCTATGAGCAACATGCCTCGCCACATGTTGCCAAGAAGAGGTCATATGATGGGCGGACCTATGCCCCGTCCGCCGAGCATGAGGAACGGACCAGATGGATCGATGGATGGCCCGGACGGAATGCCGCCGAGATGTGAGTGGGGCCGTTCAATATATGACTCAAGGGAATCAGTCTGCTGGATCCTTCGGGCTCTCGGTAGCGACTCGAGTTGAAGAATTCACCCGGACCGGTTCAGATAATTCCGTAGCCGACTTTATCGAAGTTTCGAGTTTCATGACTTGATTAAAATTATTTCTCTCCCGCAGTCGGTATGCCGGGACCCGACTTCTTGGCCCGACACGGGCCGCCGCCACCGAATTGGAATGGGCCGCCAGGAGGTCCAATGTGGCGTCACGGCTTACCTCCTGGAATGAGACCCGATTTCTCGCGAGGTCCTCTGCCGCCAAACTTCAACGGACCGCCCCCAATGGGTAAGCTCAGGCGGTGTAGAGAAATACTCAACGGAAGGAGCAGGAAGATTAGGGTCTTCACCGCACTTCGAATAGGTGGAATAATCCTGCTCGTTAATCCAATCAGGAAACTTCCCTAACGGATCACCCCTGGGTCTCATGGGCGCGAGACCCCCCCAGGCCGGCACCGGTTCAGCGAGCGGCTCAGTAGGCGTTTCCGGGCCCGAAAAGCGACAAGCGCACGAAGAATCATCGATTGCGGGAGGTCGAGAGAGAAAAAGACGGTCTCGTTGGTCGGATGCTCCTGGCGGTAAGTTCGAAACACCGCGGCGCTAAGCATTCGAGGCCGCTCCCGGCTTTTGCTCCGTTACCGAATGTCTGAGAGGGACTAATTCTCCAACTTTTTCCTTAAAGATGCCCCCGCGGTGCCTCCACCTGTGCTGGCAAACCTGCCACCGGTAATCGAACCCGAGGCTGCGACCGAGGTTCAAGCCGAGGCTTCAGCAGACGAGCCCGGAACGCCTGTCGCCGATGAGACTGAGTGGCCGGACAAGGCGCCCGGCGAGGATTTCGATATGTTTAACGATTCGCCGAAAGTGAAGGCTTCGTAGCTCTAGGTCAATTAGCTTGTGTAACATATCGTCCGCTGATTTGGTTTTCGAAGCGCAGCGGTCGACTCCCAGTCGAACTCCAAGGACACCGCATGGCTGATGAGCGAATATCACATCTCTGTAAATATAAGGACTACGTAACAGAACCCAAGAAATATCTATAAGAATCCTATATGTATTGAATTAGTCGCGTTTTGATTGTTTTATCTTCGTTGCATGCCAGCCGCACACGGGGATCATGCCTCTTGTTGACTATACTGTCTCTGAAATATTCGGAAGACATTGAAGACTCGTCGCATCCATCGAATAAATCTCGAGCTGATATTTAAGAGTCGGAACGCGCAGCGAAATCCCTCCATACGACGCTTGCCTAGTCCAGCACTCAGTCGCGTATTCACCTCGGGGCTGAGTGGGGCTCCAGCCTCCTCCCTCCAGGACATTGTCCCGAATCGCTGAAGTATAGAAGCGCCCTTTTGGGTTCCAGCCCCTCAGATCCGAGCCCGGCCCCCCTCCCGGAAGAAGTTCCGAGCTCGTCCCCTACAGCTTGGAGCATACAGGCCGCGCGGGATCAGGAGTCCCGGATGGGGTGTGAAAAAATCACCCAAAAAACTTTCATCTTGATGACAAGCTGGCCGGATATTGTGATGAAGATGAGTCACCGACTATTCCCCCGGAACAGCTTTTGAAAGTCACCCCCACTTGGGTCGAAATGTGTGTGCTCGTCCGCCCGTCACCTGACTTCGGAGACTACAAAGCGCTGAGCGTTCTCATTTGAATCGATGCGAATGCGGCGAGTGACCCGTAAATGCGTGCAGAGCATGTGCTGTGAGAGCACGACTCATGTCAGACGGAGTCTTCACTTTCTGAAGAAGCGCCTCTGCAATGGACGGGGCCCGACTGCGCGCCGGCACGAAATCAGGACGTTCTTTCCTGCATGGCCTACTCGAGTTGAATTGACTCTTGGAGAAACCATCGCGAGGGTGACGGACCTGACCTGATCGGAGTGAAATTCAAGGCGCATCAGAAAGGGTCGGAATTCAGCAGGGTTCAGCACGCCGAGTTTCGTGGACGATGGCACACCGCTTCGAGGTATTTCAGCGGCAGAAAGAGTTGACGCCGCCGGGAAATCAAGGACGAGAGAGTCATCTCGATTGTACCAATCATGCACCACGAGAGCAACGGAGCATCACGGGAGGGGGAGAAATTCAAGAATCACTCGATGCAGATCCCTCTCCCCGAGAAGAAGCTGCGCCGACAGGTTCCTGCAACAGACGAGGAGACAGAGACAGCTTTCGTTCTATGACGAGGGTCAATGCCTATAGGAACATTTCATTTGGGCACTCTCCAGAGGATTAGGCATTACCTAATTCCCACACAGGTGCAACGACCGGAGCACCGTCGGCAGTCTCATTCCGCGTCTGCCGGAACGGGTCGAAATTTTTCCAGCTGAAGGCATCTCCATGGACGTACCTGTCGCGATCACGGTATGCCTATGAAGGGAATTGATCGAGAGAAACGACCGGAAACGCAGTCTCCTGTTCTCAGTCGGTCAAAATTGAAGGAGATGAGTTTATCAGTTCTTCTTGGAACAACATACTTTATTAAAGACGCAATCGTAGATAACATAGTTTTTAGATGCTGTAAACGGAATAGGCTGGCGATCGAACCTTGATTTTTCAGATTGATTTGTTCCACTGTTTATACGAGGTTTCGGACTTTCATAACGAGGATCGTCCGTTTGTTTTCCTTTCGCATCGACTTCCAGAACATTTCGTGGTAAGATGCTTATCGTGGGTAGTAGTCCTCATCTTTATCATCAAACAACCATTCGGGCAACTATAAGATACATTCAACCATCTCAAGTTCGCCTGAATATTTTGTATCGCTTTACATGGGTGCAACGCAGCTACGGCTGCCATCGACACCCGCTGACAGGGTTCTGCTATTTGGTACAAAACGTATGTATGGCTTCAAGCATGCGCTCCCGAGTCCGGCACTCTGCATACCTCTCTCTTTATCTCTGCAGTCGAGGCGGCCATAATACTGTCACGATGAATTTCGACGCGATTCCGATTAAAGTACACTCTGGTTTACGCATCGGAACGTACTAGGTAATTAAAAGATGTAAATTTCGAAAGTCGCTGCCAGGATGAGAGCCTCGACGGTATAGGATTTCGGCTTGGAGAGGGCGAGCGCGCTGACAGAATCGGTTTGTTCAATCATATGCGAAAGTTGAGTTCGGAAAACTACACAAGTGAATCGGAGTCGCCTTCCAGTGCAACTAAAGTGTTTTTTTCCTGGTGGGTTTAAAGCGATGCTACTTTTTATCGATTTATACACAAATATTGTTGTGTGGCTAGAAACTCCATATAATAATAATAATAATATCAGGCGTCCCGCAACGGTATCGTGGAAACCGATCGACCTATCTCGGATTGGCGTTCTGTGTGGGATTTTCGCTTCTGATTCAGGGGAGGAACTTTGTTTTGCGGTTCCAATGATCCGTTGTGATTTAAGGCACAGTGCTCCGATTGAGGAGAAGGTCCGGGGACGCAACGGTGAGCCTAATTCTAATGAGATTCAGTCAGTCGTCAATAAATAGCCTCAAGGAACATGTGGACACGCTCAGTCACGCGGTGGAGCAGACGTTTTCAAGACGTAGGAACTTCGTCTCGCGTTCTTTCTTTTCTAACGGAGATTCTCGGTAGCGATTGACGTAGATGTCGAGATTAGCCTTGCGCCGCTCCACAATCGGTTGCTGACACTTCCTCATAGATCTTCGTTTGAAGACTGCGATATACTCAGCGCGGATTGACTGTTTGAAGGCATGGCAATAACGAGTCTGTAAGAATGAAATTCGAACATTATTATTATTATTATCATCAGTCGACGTCACCATCGGAAGCCTGGGACTTGCTCGTAAATCGTCAATAATATAATGAAACTATTTTCGAGAAAACATAGGTAGGATGCGGCGGATGGAAACCCCGGTTTCCCTCCGGTGAAATGACCCATAATTTCATGTTTGCAGGTGAGCTACGACGACGATATGGGATCATCCGTGAGCGATTGATAACCTCAATCTAACACGTCGCAGGAGATGCTGACCTCGATCAGCGGCGAAATACATCGACCTCACGGAAAATTCATATCGGGAAGTATTTGCTCCATAGCTAACTCATTCGAGAATATCATCGATATCTCTTTATCTTTCCTCAATCAATCCTTCACCGCGTAAACGATCCGAGATGCCGAGCATGATTCGGCTGAATGAAAATGCGCGATTTCTCGGTTATCAGTAAACTTGGGACTGAGCTATGAATACGGGCTCGAATTACGATTATTTTCACTATCCGAAAACCTCCTCTAGTGTCACTATGAGCGCCGACTTCGAGAATACCCAACGACGAATTTCGCCCCGTAGAACCTATCTGTGGCTCGGCCGGCCGGCCGGTCGATCGATCCAACGTGGGTTTTTCGAGCTCAGAAGAAAGTTCGACTCATGGGATTTATTTGCATTCGAGCAGATATGTTAGGCACGGATTTTATTCAGCGCACCATTCCGCGCAGGTCGATACACCGCGCTAGCTGAGGACGTATTCTTTCCCCGAGACTATGACCGCACCGACAGATATAAGCATATCGCATTCGATTGAGCTAACTCACCTGTCTGATGGAGATTGACTTCGACTGTGTTGCGGAGTCTGATTGCCGGCGACTTGGACCATGAGCTGTCTTTGTTGTGAGGGCTGCGGACTCGATATGGGCCGAATCTGGAGGCTCTGATTCAGATTCTGCAATGATGTCTGCAACGCCATATTCTGTCCGAGCATCTGCCAAGCGGCTCCCATGGAGGCCGTGAGGAGTGAGGGATTTAGAATAGGAGGGACCCGGTCTCCGAGGGAACTTCCACCGCCGACATTGATGATGCCCGAAGAAGCTGGGAGATCTTTCTTTTTCAGTTGACCTCCACCGCTTTTCCGGCGACGAGTTTGAATGTCCTTCTTCTTGAGAGCCAGCGGTCGGTTCGTCTGCAATTAAGCAACATCACGATTTGGTATTCGAGGAGACACAGAATGATAGGAAGGGAAGTCGCGATGATCACGGAAAGTTAGAAAGGAGATTCGGGCAAATCAACTCTCCATCAATGCCCGATAGCGGATGAAGAGAACGAATATTTTTTCCGCTTTCTACTCTCACGGTCTAGACCGAGAATGCGAATTTTTCCTGTTCGCGGCCAAGCCTCCTTTTCGTGAATTCGGTCTCCTTTCTTCATCGCACTTCATTGGTGGTCGATGAAGACGTTCAAGCCGAAGGTACGGCATCCGCAGAACAGTTAGCTCTGATCGAAGCTCGCAATGAAGCTCGAAGATGGCTGAATCAGACGATATTCAATCTGGCCGACCGGATGGCCGAGCCCGTCCTCAGTTGCCATTAATAACCGAGTCTTCGGGCCAAGACAGCCGAACACTTGGTCGGTGAAGGAAGAGGGCACCTCTTTGCGGGGTAAATAAATGAATAGATAGGATCGACATCGACGTCTTCAATGCAAACATCGCACACCGAATCAATCATCATGTTTTATGCATGACGCCAGTAGTCCTCCGCGCTATTGCAATTGGTGGACATGCGCAGAAAAATCTGCTCGGCGATCAGATCAGGAAAGTGAATGAGACAAATGGATTATTTCCTTCACTTGTGACTCGTGACCCTCGACCAAGGCGGATCGACGCATCACCGAATCGATAACTTTATCAAACCTTCCGGAAGCTAGAGGGCTCTTCATTTTTTGAACCCCACCAGCAATGAAAAGTCGCCCGGATACTCACATTGTGCAGCTTATAGTAGAGGCCACATGCATTACAGACGGGGAAACCCTCGATGTTCCTCCGCCATAGTGTCGTGGTTGTCGTGTTGCAGTTGTGGCAAACCATACCCGCAGATCCTCCGTTGCGTTTCTCGCGAGAATTCCAATCGGATTCACTCCGAGGGGGCGCGCACTGAGCGCACATTTTACACAGAGTATTCCCGCCCTCATCGACGGCCCAATGGGACGAGTGGGTCGCGCCACACATAACGCACTCAACATCGGGTCGGATCTCCTGATCCTCGGCTTTTATTTGAATCAGAGGTGCTGTAAGGGCAGACAAGTTCTAGTTGATACGGTGAGCTCTCCGATATCTATCACGAAGCATGCAGAGCGAAAATCGGTCGTGCTGGATTCGGATGCGAAATGAGCGGAGCTTTCATCACCGTCTTTGGACGAGGCCGTGCAACTAATCGTTAGGAGCTGTGACTTTTCTTCTGACAGTGCCTCGCTCCGAACGACGAAGAAAGCTATCAGAGACATAGCGAGTGAAAGACAAATCTTAAAGGTTAGGGTGAAGGAGACGAAACAACGACGAATTTAATGCTATCCGATGGCGATGCGGTGTGACGCTGGAAGAGTACCTGGAAGGAAATCTCTTTTTAAAATATTGAAGTCTCTATCAGTCGCAGTCGCAAGTTTTGTTGGCGGCGTCCGTGTGACTTTCGGGTACACAGCTCTGTCTGTGACCGTCGGCATGAACGATTGCGATCGTTAGCGTCGCTGCCGTCGCGGCACTACTGAAGTGCGTTGAAGTGTCGTGAGGAATTCTGAGCTTCTGCGCGGGCGTCTCCGTCGTCATGCTGAGCATGCGGTAGAAGAAAAACCCGAAAGAGTACTTTCGATGGATAACCCTCGAACCGTGACGCAGTCAAGAGAAGTGTCATCAGGCTCCCACCATAAGCCACGGAAAACACCTGAAAAAAAGAAGAAACATTCGGTCAGATCTCGAGCATCCGGCAAGACTCACGTCGGAAGCTACTCGGGCTGATCAACTTCAGCTACAATTCACTACGGAAGGGAGAAGATCGCGTGGGATCTTCCTTGCTCACACTCGTCTGGGGCGAATACTGAATCGCACAAATCTCTTGCCCCTCGTGCCAACGGAGGACAAGGTTAATCACCACCCGAGAGCGGGGCGACATTCCAATGCAACGCCACCGGATACAGCCGGGGAGGAAGATCGTTTGCTGAACGGATGAGGAGATGGAAATGCGCGGACCGAGGGCCGCAGGCCGGATTCTCTATCGGATCTTCCTCTGCTCTCGTCGTCTCGGTGGTTCTCGATTTCATCTAGAATGAACCCTTGATCTTGACTCCTAGTTCATCGTCTCTCTCGGCTCATCCGCCGGCCCGCCCCTTGTCCGGCAGCAATACATTTTAACGAAAAGCAACGACTGTGGTGATGACGATTCAACCAATGTCACGGTCAAATTTCTTGTAGCCAATCGACATATCGAATATCTTCCAACGAACACCGCCGATTCCCGCAAAAGTGGCCACAAACGAGTAACCACAAAACCCTATCTCGAATTACTCCAACACACAGAAGAAATGATGAGACGGAAGGTTCATGGGCAGGAAGTCTCCGCTCCTCTCGCAGTCACTGAGATTGTGACTAGGATTCAACCGAGAGTTGAGACTGAAAACCGAGTCATGAATATCCACGAGTTACTCGGCTTTCACAGAAGCTTACTGAGAACAGGCTGGCCCGCTTGCTATCGCCGGACGCTCAATCGCTCAGACAGAGAGAGATGCGGTTCCGCCGCCAGCAGGTCGTCTGCGGACCGCGCGGCGAGAACGAGGAGGAGAAGAAGAAAAAATCCTCTGGAAGCGGGTCCGCAGCCCTCCGCCTTCACACAAAGAGAAAATTCTCAACCATTCCGTTCAAATTTCTTCGTTTTTCTGGGCAGCCGCCGCTTGCCGTCGCGTCCCTGCAGGATCGCTTTTCGGGCTGAACTTTCCGAACTGATCACCGCCAGCTAGCAGTTGCTCGGCTCTTCAGTCAGTGAGTCAGTCAGCGCGTCGCAGGGGAAGCAGATACCGTGCGAGGAAATCCTCGGCTTTTTGAGTTTCGTACTTCCGAGCTCAATCCGTATTTGTGCGCGTCAAATCTTGGTCGGATCGTAGTCAGACTCTAAGATGGTCAGATTTCTGCGCCGGCCGCCGTTCAGCAAGACTACAGATGGAGGCTTACGGAATGAGAGAACGCTCCCCGATTTTTTGTCTCACACCTCTGCTTCCGGGATCGAGAGTGTCAAAGGCCGGGACCGCGAGGGGAACACGAGAACCGGGAATTTCCTCCGGCTGAATTATATCTACCCGAAGGGAAGGAACCGCGAGTTTCGCGTTCACCCACAAACATGCGATCTCTCCTTGACGGCGACACCGGCGCGGCTTTCTGAAGACCTGGGCCAATTCCACGGATTCCAATAATTAAATTTCAAATCCGACACCGCCTTAACCCCATTCACGAACGTTTCCACGAAACATCGTGGAAAACATCGTGCGCGACGGCAGAGTGTCTACGCTTCTACGTATAATTTGAATAGTTTCGAAGCGGCGTTTCTGCCGACCCTCGCAGCGGAAGCATGGATGGCATCAGTCTGTGTTTTTGCATGCAACGCCCTGATCGTCATTTCAGGCCCGCCTTCGCCTCCTCCTCGACGGCTCCATCCACGTCGAGCGATCGAAGACGCGCCTGATGATGATGTCGTCTCGTGGCGGCCGCCACCGCCGTCGCTCACTTGTGTAAGGGATGAGCGGCCGAACAGGCAGCCAGCAACATCAGGAACAACACAGTCAAGTGATCCGTCCCGCATGATGCGTGGAGACCCACGGCAACTGATAACACCCGACACAGAAGCCACTCTCGTGCGCGCCTACAGGCACAGGGCGACTGTCGTTCGCCGCGACCGTCATCAAGAGCTCCGGGTATTCCTGAACGGTATTAGAGGAATCCTTCGACGTCGCCGTTGAGCTCGATGTTGGCATCGTGGAGAAATGACAGCGAGCTAGGTCGGCATCATGGCGTCACCGAAATCGTCGATTTCATTATTCCGATCGGTACCAGCTGGAGATCTCGATGCGAAGGAATCGCTCATTCAGTTTATTTCGACGATCATTCGACGCTAAGCCTGGCCAAGCCTGGGTCAGAGATCCCTGCTCCGATTCCCCCGATCTCCTCCCTGACCCATCCCGAAGGAACCAAATCGTTGGAATTCATTTCCGGTATCGAGCATCCTGGAATTCACGAAAAGTCGCCTTGACCGCCCGGTCTCGTCGAAGGCTGGTCGCGGCTTATCGTCGAGAAAACGTCAGCGTCGGTTCCTCACCGAATTATATATTCCCCATCGGGACACTGCACCAAGTTCTCTGATTGAAATTCATTCTGCAGCTCATCCTCAAGTCGAATTGTTGTGAACGATTCTTGTTTTTTCAACCCGTAAATCCCAGCCTCAAGAGACCGGCCCTGAATTCATCCGACGTCGCATGATAATGCACTTGGATGATCCAGAGGCAGAACCCAAGATCAGCTCAGAGTCGAAGTAAAAACTCAGGATGACTTGGCCTCGACAAATCAATCAGGAGAAGAGTACACCACAACAAATCGGAAAAGTCGAGCGCTCATGTCTCATGGTCGCTCCCTTCGCTGATCCGGTTAGCTGTGTAATTGAGAAGCGCAATTTTTCTTCCCCGACTCGTTCTCTTCGTACGCTCCTGTGGTGTGGCACGTCAATGAAATCGAGTGATTTTCTGCCAAGGCACGGGACCCATTCTCTAGGTCGGATCGTATACGAGACCGGTTTCATCGAGCCCCAGCAACGACTGCTGCCTGAGACGGCCGCGCGGTCGTGTCGACCTGCGTATCGACAAATCACAAGAAACGAGCGAGTTTCTCCCTTTTTCAATTTTCCATCAAAAACTTGACAGCGAGATGTGCTGCCAAACGTTCCACTTCTCGTCGCGGGTATTCGGTTCTCGATGACCGTTCCCATCGTAAGATGTCGACGATGGGAAGATGAGCTCATCCAGCCGAATACTCAGCGAGCGAAAGCATTCTGTCGTGTAAAAAAGAGTCACTCGGAAATTTTGAGCGCGTTCCCGGAATGCAACCCGCGATATTCCGATCGCGTCGTGGAATCCGATCGATGGGACACCCAGGCAGGCCGGTCAATTATCTGCGGACCACGCAAACAGAAAGAAGAAACAACAATGAATGTACCTACACGGTCGCGAATTGTTTGTACGGCGCCGGTAGGGGGGGATCGTCACCGGCACCAGGGACAAATATTTAGTCTGTCAATAGCCTCGGTCAGTCAGTAGAACGATTTCCTCTGTTTCTAAATGATCCATCACTGGGGTGATTCTCTTCAACAATTTAAATATATTTTTTCAGGGCTTGAATCAGACGTGAGACGTGAGGAATAAGCAATGATGATGCGACCACACATGAACAGCTCTCGGCGGGAAGTTACGAGCAGTTTCTGCCCAGAACCACGGTATAGATACTCCGAAAAATTCATACCGGTCCTTGCATGCTGGTTCTTGCAATCCTTCTTTCGATTTCCGCAACATTGCAAACGCGCTGGTTTCTCACACCTGCTCCACTGCCCTTGAATTCTCGCGGGAATATAATGCGATTCTATTTCAACGGCCGAAGGAAGCGTCAACGATGGTCGCTTACGAATTGTGAGTCGTAATGCAGCCCCAGCGCGGAATTAAGTCGATACGATTGATGAAAGTGATTCACGAATCGAGTCGAGTCCTTGCTGACGTCAAACCGGACGGCTCGGGGGCAAACGGGAAGGAAGGGCTGATCGACTGAGGGATTATTTCTGCCCATGAGCCACCCACGCGCAACCTAGTCCTGACGATGCCGGTCATGGTTAAGCGCTCCATGGAAATGTCGTCAATCGACCCTTTTTCGAGCACCCCGTTGCAATTCATGTCTCGGTTTCGACCATCGTCAGAACATCGAAAAAAACAGCTCATCAATAGAGCGAGTAGTTTGTCTCGCCGAGGCGGTCCTGATCGCCGCTATAAATAAGAATCGGGGGTCGAACGGTATAAGACCCATCGCTCAACGGTTCCCCTCCGCTTCCAGATGGAAATACTTGAGAGTAGTCGCGAACTCCTCTGAGGCGAGACTCTTTCTATCATTGATCCGGCTCAGGGCTGCGAATGAGCCACCTTCATGAACTATCGGAGGGAGATTCTTCTCCTCGACCCACTCGCATCAGACAAGAATTCCGGTTTGGATAGAG